AGTGCCACAAACTGATCACCTCCATGCCACGCCGAATTGAGGCAGTAATTAAAGCAAAAGGAGCCCCTACCAAGTATTTAGTACATGTACAGTAAATTAACATACTTTCCAGTCCAGAAGGCCAACAATTCACTAAAAATGTTTTTTATTGGTCTTACGAAGTATTCTAATTTGAGAATTGGTGGGTTTTTGTTAAACAAGAGCCAAAAATCACCACAATTAAAAGAACCAAAGACTTAAACTACTTCAGTCTGTGTGCATTGAATTTAATACACGAGTTTCACAATTTGAGTTGAATTACTGAAATAAATGAACTTTTCCATGACATTCTAATTTGAGATGCACCGGTGTGTGTGTGTATATATATATATAAAAAAAATAAAAATAAAAAAAGACTTTAAATATGAAACATGCAGGATATTTTAATGACACAAACACCTCCAATGTCAAAAGATCGAGGCAAACTTGATTTCTCATGCCATGACTCCTTTAAAAGACAATTAACTGGTTTGAGATGAGCAGACACTTTACATATTTCGGAATCATCTGGGCAGTGAACATTGTATCAGCATGTTAATCACAATCATTGATAGAACTCCAAAAGACTCCAGAGTTTAAAAGTAGACTTTTATTACACAAATAAAAACATAGAAACACATTCAACAAATAGTGCTACAGTAGCACTTCAAAGCATGTAATCAGCTCTGCTTTTTCCTTAGAGATGTTGTTGCCCTTACAGACTTTTTAATGGTGCGACATAGACTTCCTGTAGAATGTGGAGTCATTGATTCTTTAATGTTGACCAGCAGACCACACCTTGGACGAGGCTGTCCTACAGAATCATTAGCCAGCTTTGCAATTTCCTGCCGCAAACAGTTTATCTCCTTCTCTTTAGCCAGGACACCACTTTCTAAACACTCAATTTTTTGCTCCTGTTAAAAAAATAAAATTTTTTATTTATTTATTTATTTATATAAATAAATAAATAAATAAATAAATAATAATAAATCATCATCATGAGCACATGGCCATACAGTAGGTTTCATCCGAGCTTGTTCTTACCTGATTTGAGAGTCTGTTTTGTAGATTTTGGACCTCTGCAAGTTTTTCCATGTAGCTCTCCCCAGCTTCCTGCAGAGTCTCATGCAACTCACTGATCCGCTGCTCGAAAGACACAATCAACTTAAAAAAAAAAAAAAAACACCCTCAGAACAACCAATAATGAAACTGCTACAGAAACTTTCAGTTGTCCATTTACCTCTTGCTTCTCAACACATAGTTCCTCCACCGCACACTTTTCCTTGTACAGCATTTTGAACCTTTCTGCAATGAATGGAATTCAGTCAATGGATGGATGAGTACACACACGACTGCACAAACCAAACAAATACTAATCCCCACCACAGAGCTGCATTTACATTTTCCAACCCAAAAAAAACCAAAAAAAAACCAAAAACAAAGAATTCCACCACAACCCACAGAGACATGTCCAGCAGTCACACACACACTAAACAGATAATACCTGACTCTGTGGCAGGAACTGGATTCGTTTGCATGGAGTTGTCCTGCATGAGTGGAGGACCGCAACGCTGGCATTTCTGTTCCAACTCTCGAACAAGCTTCTCTAGCTCCTATATTAAAATAATGTTAGACTAACATACTATACATAAAACCTGATTTTCAATCAATCAAAGGCAGCTACGTTGACACATTTTTGTGCAGTTACAATGCTAGACTGCTGGCCTATTATATTCTCATACCTAGATATGGCTAATTGCATACACAGAAAAATTTAGCACACCCAGTGCTGTTACACATCAAATAGTTGGGGGTTAATTACATTTGAATTATTGTGTATATACACCTTGACTCGCTCTTGCTCTTCATTGTATTCCTCTATAGGGATGTAATCCTCTTCTAGTCTCTCCAGAGCACATTGGTATGCATGCTCCTTCAACGCCTCTTTATACATCTCAAATGTGCTGTCCATCTTCTGTTAGACTAACATACTATACATAAAACCTGATTTTCAATCAATCAATTAAAGGCAGCTACGTTGACACATTTTGTGCAGTTACAATGCTAGACTGCTGGCCTATTATATTCTCATACCTAGATATGGCTAATTGCATACACAGAAAAATTTAGCACACCCAGTGCTGTTACACATCAAATAGTTGGGGGTTAATTACATTTGAATTATTGTGTATATACACCTTGACTCGCTCTTGCTCTTCATTGTATTCCTCTATAGGGATGTAATCCTCTTCTAGTCTCTCCAGAGCACATTGGTATGCATGCTCCTTCAACGCCTCTTTATACATCTCAAATGTGCTGTCCATCTTCTCTTCATAACTCTCCTTTAGGTCCACCATCTGACGACTTTTTAAAAAAAAAAAAAAAAAAAAAAAAAAAAGACAACCTTTTCACAAGTCCATGTTACTGTGACTTGCCTCTGTTGCTTCTGCATTAACAAGAACATACCTGTGCAGTTCCTCTGACTCCATGATCTGTTGCAACATTGCATCTCCCATCTCCTTCCGTATCTGAATCTCCTGCAGCAGATTTTTCCTGCGCTCATCCAACAGCTTTACACGCAAGCTTTCCACCAAGCTTACCAACTCCTACAGAAGAATGACAAATAGCCAAGTCAGTGAACACATTGCAAAGGTTTCTGTAAAAAAGCAACCCTTATTTGAGCACTGAACATCTTGAGTTACAGTAGCGAAGCATTGTCACAGCTGATGCAAGTAGGCCATTCAACAAAAGCAAGGTCACCTCTTGAGGCAATATTGACATATCTGCCTCATCTCCATCCAGCAGCTCTTCCTCTGACAAGTAGTCATCCACAGCCTGGTCATCAATTACTCCATTTTTCAGCAATGGCTTCCCATCCAGACCAACAAGACGTGGTGCCAGAGACTCAAGAGATCTTTGAGGTATAACCTGTAACACCTAATATATATACACGTAGACCTCAGATGGCACACTTGAGTGAGCTGCATGGTCATATGCATTATGCAACCATCAAAACCATGACTATAGAATTTCTCATTTGTGACCTTATGATTCGGCCTACTGCAAAAGTTCACGTTACACCAAAAAAAAAAAAAAAAAACCCAACAAAAACCCCA